GAGGCGGCTTGGGTTTCGCAGCATCGGATTACTTTTCGGGCAAGTTGTGCATGTCCATTCGCTCGCAGACCTCTCAGTACGTTTGAATAGTGACTCTCAACGAAATTCACCATATGGCCAATGACACGTCCTTGGATTCTGTGCAGGAAACAGTCAACGTCCGGATGTGAACAGAAATGGTCCCGTGTCAACTTCGCTGTCATGCCTGTCGACCTCAGCCTGTTGCTCCTCCAGATTCTTGAACCAGCGCGACATGAGCCCCAAAGCCTTCCAGCAAACCCCCATTTCCCGGCGTTGGGCCCGATTCAAGGTATCCATCAAGGTCAACTTGAAGGACCCCGTCGCCGTATGCACTACCATCTCTCACTCGTTCTTCTTCACGTCGCGAGTCACACTTCGAGCTGCTTCAAAGGCGCTATCACTGCCCCCCACCTTCTCCAGTTGGCGTTTGATATACATAACATTGCTGAACAGAAGGACTATTGACAAATTAGCTCGAACTAATTAGTATCCGCAAATGAGAGGGATGACATACGCGCTGGCACCACGACCCAGGGGCCGTTGAACCCGATGTAGTAGACCCAGAAGTAAAGGAACTCGGGTCGACTGTGAGATACGCCGTGGAGAAAGTACTCGGTCAAGCTGGTAGAGTAGTAGAGCACGACGCCGTACAGGTGGCCGACGCACATGATGATGGTCAGCGGGTAGCGCAGGGTGCTCCTCTTTGCGATGGCGACCACGATGGACCAGCACAGCGGACCCCATACCGCCTAATTCCTGTTATTGACTACTCGCTCAGAGGTTGAAACAGGGTTTCTTACCACGGTGAATCCTTCAACGCAGAGCATGAAAGAGTCGGAGGTCAGGTAGCGTGAGTCTGACAGGGCGTATTCCTTCCAGAGCTGGCCGAAGAAAGTTTGCAGGCTCGCCAGGTTCTCATGGTAAAGAATGAAGTAGCCTGCGATGGGATTAGATCTTGACCGGATATGATGCGATGGAAGATTGGGTTGTTACCTACCCTCGAAGAAGCAGTGAAGAAAGCCGCCTGCATCATGTTAGCCGTTGTAAGCGCCGCAGCCGAGAGTGGCTACTCACAAAGTGCAAACCAAGCGACGGTGAGGAGATCTGCCTTGGACAGAGCAGTGTGGGCTTTCCTGGCGCCCAGGACAGCCGCTCCGACGGTCAGAGCAAGAACGGCGCCGAAGGCGATGAGGAGGACGGGGATGGAGGTTTGGTTCGCGGTGTAGTGCAGGATTGGGGCGTCGACGGGGTAGTACGGATGTGCGGGAGCAGCCACGTTGGCCGAAAAGTCGACAGCCGGGTCATTCATGTTATGCGGGATGGACTCGGTCATTGCTGGCCGGAATAGCCTTGCGCATATCTCGGTTTTGGGACTCGATTCTTGACGCGTGGCTGGCCGACAAAATTTGGTTGTGAGGATGCTGGAGGATTGATGTAACTCGGCGGTCAAGACGGTGGAAAATGACCCCTAGGTACTGGTCGAACCAATGCTCACAGTATGTCCTCTCGGCCTGGTTTCGAAATACAAGGCATTTTATCTTTAGAAAAAACAAGTAAGACTGGGTTTTCATGAAATATTGAGTTGATTGCTCAGGCGGCTTGAATTCTCATACATGGCGGGAGTTATTGCTGGTTCCTCACACATGCGTGTCTGCTTTAGTTGCATCTCAGCTGCCCTTCTAAAAGACGGCGCCATTGAGAGGTGCCTGGCGCTGGCTTCCCGATAAATGCGTGCAAATTGAATCACTGAGAAGCCTGTTTAGATGAGAGAAAAAGTTGTGAACTAAGGCCTAAGAGAAACAGTCTACTTCACAGGTTAAGTACACGGTAGTACATATTGTTTGCAGAGAATAGCGCACTTGAGACAAAGTTGTTGTTTCTCACCTCACCACGTTGATGGTTCTCTAGCACCTGTGTAACGTAACAACAGTTACCTTAGCGGCCGATTGGGGAAACCGGACCGCTGATCTTCCGCAGGCCGCCGCCCGTGTGAGGTGGATGCCGTTACCGCCAATTAGTCGACCTCGTATCGCCATCTTCGTCAAGTCATCACCTTGGCTGTATGTGAGACGCCCTTCTCAACCCCGCCATCCGGTCCTTTGCAAACATCACCGCACCCTCAGAGCCGCGACAGTCAACATGGGCGACGTTCCGGTTGAAGAAGCCCCTTTCCCGCTGACGGATGTCGATAAGTGGGTCCTCTCACAGACGGACGAGGAGTTCAAGAAGCATGACTGGGAGGAGCTCAAGGAGATTATTAGTGCGTCATATTTTTTGCGCTTTGATTTTATGTCTTGAGAGTCTAATGGTCTACAGAGACGAACAAGCTGGAGGTTCTGAAGCGGAAGCCCTCAGACCTGCGTCGATACATGAAGTGGACGGCCGAGACCAAGGCCGAGTATGGTTCCATGACCAAGTACCTCCTGGTGAACCGCCTGCCAAAGACCTGGGGCGAGCCGCCTTTCAGCCCCAAGTCGCTCGTTCCCTTTGAGGAACCGTCCGACTACCGAGTCCTTGTCAACGACTGGCCGTACGGACTTGACCCCGAGATCACCCATATCGTGGTCTGGTCGCGCACCATCATCCCTACCGATGCAGAGACGGGAGACATGACGCCAGAGAGCAGGCGCATCACCCAGAGATTTGTCGAAAAGTACTTTGTCGAAAGCTTAGGCGATGGTGGAGCAGACAGAGTTGTCTGGTTCAAGAATTGGGTTGCTTTGCAGAGTGTGCGGGCTCTTGAGCACATCCACGTTCTGGTGAGAAATGTAGACGCAGAGGTCATCAAGAAGTGGGCCGAAGAGCAGCCGTGGCATAGACAGAACTGAGCGGATAGACCCGGTAGAGATGAATAGACACCATATCAGCCGTCGAGCTGTTGGAATAGACTTGCAGTCGAGTTATGCCGCACGGCGCTGTTTGCGGTTGGCGGGCATAGGAGCTTCGTTGTTGCCAGCACCCTGCATACCTTGGGCCATTCTCTTGCCAGCTCCGAGCAGACCAACTCCAGCGTAGGCGCCGTATGCCGGGACGGCGAGCCACAGCAGCCAGCCCCAGTTGCCAAACAGGATGACGAGAACAACGGATGCCCAGGTGACCCAGACGACGTCAAACATGTACTCAGTCAAGCCGGCGGCTGCCAGATCCTCGCCCGAAGCCTTGAGGCCTCCTCCCGCATCATACTTGGGGCGTCCCGCGTTCTCCAGGACGAACTCGCAGATCAAGGCCGGGGCAGAGAGGAGAATGAACCAGAAAAGAGACCTCGACTTGATCAGGAAGTGGAACAGAAGAAAGCTGAAATTGACAATGGCAGAGCCGATGTGCAGGTTGTTCAGAGCGGCGGCGTTGGACTTGGCCCTATCCTTCTTTGCCTTTTGCGCCATGTCGATGGTTGGTTGTGTCGAGGTTGCTGCGGGTCGATTTTTCGGAAAGGTGAGGAATGGTTAATGCCGTCAAAGGGCACAAGAAACGCAGTTGAGGTCAATTGAGTTGGTCAATGCCCCGGCGCAAGGTGGCACGAATGTGAATGAGGACCGGTACGTTCCTGAGGATGAAGACAGGTTGCGGGCAAACGGTGTTGAGGCTGAAGGATGCGAGTGACGAAATTCCACAAGTGAAGTGTGGCTCAGGCGCGGGATCCAATGACAGTGCACTTCGGACGGCATCAAGTGGATCTCCAACTTGAGAAGACGGTGCACCGCCGAAGGGAAGAGGTGGTGGCGGGTGGATGTCTCTGGAGCAAGACGTCGGTCGGGTGTCCGTACCTACCTAGGTACCTACCTAGTAGGCACTCCGTGGGGGGGGCTGGCGAGTGACGACAGGGGGTTGGCAGGCAGAAAGGCCGCTGAGTGGGCGCTTGTTCCTGTTGCTGGGCGAGGTGACGGCGGTCGCTGCGGTATCGCGTGAGCCAATCAGGGCGGTCGCACCACAACACCACGCGCGACGGGGACTGAAAGGAGAGGGAAACGCTGCCGTCAGGTCAACACGGCACGGGGGGAACAGGAATAGCAACCTGACATTGTCCATCTTAGACAAGGTCCCTGACCTGACCTGAACTGACCTCACCTGAGGTGACACCTTCACGACGACGGGACTTGCCCTTGTCTCTCAGCTCTCTTCTTCCCTCCCGCCATCCCACGGCTGGACGTCTGCCGCTGTCTCCGCCCACCACCTACCTGCCTGCCCCCTCCATCTTGTGGTGTAGTGACTCTACTGGGTAGCTTGCCTCAGGTAGTTTCTGCCCGGTCTTTGGTCTCCCAGCTTCCACACCTCTTCCTCCGTCAACACCTTTTCCTTCCTTCCTCCTCTCGTTCCGTTCAGTGCGCTTCGTAGCCACGTTTTTGCTGCAAGACGCGACCCAGTCAGCCAAATGGCCTGCCGTCTCTTCTTTGGTTGCTGCGAGGAGTGAACAACGCAAAAGTTTGGACAGAGTTCTCAGTTCGTTGTTACGTCGACTTGCAACGCCCCCCAGAAGGGAAACCCAAACAAATTCACGGGACCCACCACAACGGCCTTTCCGCCTCGACAGGCCCAGTAACAACAGTACCAGCAACAGAGAAACACCACAATACCCATCGCTACCAACGTCGCTTGTTTTCAGCATTTACGGCGCCAATTCATCTCCAGCGGCCATTCATTACGGCTCTTAATTGTTAATGCCTTCAATAAGCCGATACGATTCGACCGCAGTCCCCTTATTGCTCCTCTAGCCCTGAGGCTCCGCGCGACCCCCAACCTCGAAATTCACGGACGCAACTTTTTGCGCTTGCACAGAAACTATCATCCAAGCTCGCCAGAGCTCAACCACGCTTGCCAACCCTAGCCGCCCGCCCTCCCGGGACGCTGGCCACCCAGATCGACTTTCCAGCCATCCTACCCGACGACTATTTACTACTTGCGCGCGATCCCATGGCCACAATCTCTTGTCGACGGTAACCCCCTCCACTGAGCCGCCTGCATCTCTTCACCACGCCGTGAGAATGGCGCCCACCAGCGCAGCCATCACCGGCCTGCTGCGTCAGGTCATATACTATCATGTCGACCATCATACCTACGACAACGCCCTATTCTTCGCCGAACGCCTGAATGCCCAGGACCCCAAGTCGAGTGAATCGGCTTACCTGTTGGCGCTTTGCCATCTTCGCCTTGGCGATGCGAGGACTGCCTTCGAGGTCAGCAGGCCGTCTGCCTCTCGGGGCTCCAACCTGGGCGCCGCCTGGATTTTTGCGCAGGCTTGCCTCAAACTCGAACGATACAAGGACGGCATCAACGCGCTGGAAAAAGCGCGAGAGAAGTGGATTGGCAAGACGAACCTGGGCAAACATACCACAACAACCCGATCACTATATCCGGACGAAGCTGCGGTTTTGTGTCTGTTAGGGAAGCTGTACCGAGCATACGACGACCGCCGAAGGGCGATCGAGTGTTTTGAGAATGCCGTCAGGGTCAACCCCTTCATGTGGGACGCTTTCCAGGCTCTTTGCGACATGGGCGTCAACGTCAGAGTGCCCAACATCTTCCAGGTCACCGATCCACTCACCCATAGCTTCGACCAAGACCCCAGTGTGATTCTCCAGGAGCCCAAGGAGGGCACATCAAATTCGTTCGAACCCAAGAAGCACTCGTCCCGGACTATGATGGACTCATCAGATCCTTTCAACCTTCACCGATCCTCGACGTACCAAGACATGCCCTTTAGTGCCAACGTTTTTGCTGCCGAGGCGGAAGAGAACGACTTCATGTCAAAAATCACAGCGGCAAAGGCAAGACTGGCACCTCCAGCCACGGCAAATGGCGAGTCCGATCTTATGGAGACACCCACCGGTCCTGTGTCAATGCCCGAGGTTCCGACACTGCGTAACTTCGCTGCTGAGCCACCTCAAGCGCCGCCACGGAGAACACGAACGGCGCAGGCCGTGGAGCCAGGCTTCCTGGAAGCACCTCCAAAGATGAGTTACAGACTAGGTGCCAAGAGAAGCACTAGGAGTCAAGATAAGGACCAAACCGTCGAGTTGCACTCTGACACCGGCACTGGCCCCGGAATCTTGCGGACGGCAGCACCCTCGGAACGAAAGAGGACAGTCTCGGGGCACCCTGTTCAGTCACGACAGCATTCCGAAGAGGTCAGCGCTCCCACGCAAAGGAGGAGCGCAAGGTTAAATATGAACATGTTTCACAAGCCGTCAGTTACCAAGGCGAACTCGGGCGCTGCTACAATCAGCGGTGGGACTCGTGAGCTGAAGAAGGCTAGACCCCAAATCTCTCGAATCATGCGGCCTGGCTCTAGTGGCTCCAGTGTCGGTAGGGTCGTAAGTGGCAACCGGAAGCCCATCGAAGATAACGGCATGGACGTCGACCACGCCGAGACCACACGAGTACGGGAGCCTCACGCGACCCAGCATGCTGCGCCAAGAGCTGCTCTTGGGGAGCCCGACAACGTCAAGATTGAAGAGGCTTTAAAATGGATTATGGACTTGCTCAAGAAGTTCGCCTCTGGCTACTTTGCACTTAAGCAGTTCAGATGCCAGGAGGCTCTGCATTCCTACAGCACTTTGCCCCGCAGCCAACAGGATACACCCTGGGTTCTGGTCCAGATGGGTAAGGCGCACCACGAGCAAGGCTCGTACAAGGAGGCCGAGAAGTTCTTCAGGAAGCTGCGTGTTGTGGCTCCAACGCGAATGGAAGATATGGAAATCTACTCAACCATTCTTTGGCACTTGAAGCGCGAGACAGACCTCTCTTTCCTGGCCCACGAGCTTGTTGATGCCGACTGGGACTCGCCTCAGGCCTGGTGTGCGTTGGGCAATGCCTCCTCTCTTTCCCGAGACCACGAACAAGCACTCAAGTGTTTCAAGCGGGCTACGCAACTAGATCCAGGTTTTGCGTACGCCTTCACTCTGCAAGGTCACGAGCACGTCGCCAATGAAGAGTATGAAAAGGCGATGGCGGCCTTCCGCCGCGCCATCGCTGCCGACAAACGTCACTACAACGCTTACTTCGGCATTGGTGGTGTGTACGAGAAGCTGGGCAGCTACGACAAGGCATACTCACACTTCCACACCGCTTCGATCATCAACCCGACCAATGCTGTTCTCATCTGTCGCATAGGAGGGATTTTGGAGAGGCAGAAGCAGATTCTTCCGGCGCTCCAGTTCTTCAGCAAGGCTGTGGAGCTAGCGCCCAAGGCTGCGATGGTCCGGTATCGGAAAGCCCGCGCACTCATGCTTCTCAGGCAGATAGATGCTGCGGAGAAGGAACTGCTGATCGTGAAGGACATGGCACCAGACGAGGCGATGGTGCATTTCCTTCTTGGCAGGCTGTACAGGAATGCCGGGGAGAAGCAGATGGCTGTGCGCTGCTTCAGCAACGCGCTCGCTCTGGATCCAAAGGTATGCTATCCGCGTGTAGTGATGAAGTCCTTGGCTAACCACATCGATAGGCCAGCGTATCGATCAAGGAAGCGATTGAAAGCCTCGAGGAGGACATGAGCATGGAGGACTCGATGATGACATGAGTATATGGCATATGAGTTTCTTGGCTTCATTCAGGGCTTGCCCTGCGAGGCAGAGAATAGCGTTTTCTGCATTTTTAGGGGTTGTGCAAGTATAGGAGAAGAGTCTGGGTACGACGGAACGAGGCAAGTCCGCCAAGCTTGGGTTTAGGCATGGTATAACAGCACGATGACACGGATTCATGTTTATCGGCATGCTGCATGGCACCGGCGTTTGGGAAAGCAAAGCAGGGAGAGCATACTGGCTTAGGAGGGACACACTGTGTCCTCTTGTATAGTAACGGCCTCGCGTTGACCAGGTTCCTCGGTAGATAGGTCGTGACGAGAAAAGTAATGCATCACTATTCGCGACACCTCACGACGCTGTGTTGGCATTCTTGCTATGTTTGCTGTCAATCACAGAGGCTGACGTGACGGCCTGTTGTGCGAGCGGGTGCTGGAAAGCGGGCCTCGGCAGCGGCTTACGAGAGATGCTGAGAATGGCTCGCGCTATGCTTATCGACATAGTTAGCCAGACCAAGTCTAGAACCCATTCGATCTGGTCTCCGGACCCCCATCTTGTTGCAGTGCAATCGACTTTCATCCCAGTACGGACCAATGAATTCCATGCTAGCCAAGGTACTCGACATTGAATCATTCGGAGGGCGCCTCATCATCAGATCGCAATTGTTGATCGATGGCCGATGGTGGGGGAGACTGAGACCCCTTGCATGAACTCAGTGGAGAGATAAAAATGCAGCCAATGAAAAATCAGTCCAGCGGCAGCGGAAAGAACTAAGCGGACGGCAGGCAGCGGGAGGACAACTGACGCGTGACAAGAGACCGGTCGCAAAGAGCTCGGTCCACTCAAAAAATCGCCCACACCCTGCATTGGGCAACTGGCCCAGCTGCGACTGCGAGCACCCCTGCCTGCTCCAGCTGGTCAGAAAAAAAGGCGGTGCACGGGGCAAGTCGGGTGCCCCCATTGCAATTGACAACACAAGACCCAACGCGCCTGCTAAAACAACGCTTTGCAACAGGCCGCAAGTGACTTGCAAAATACGCGGCAAAAAATAGGGACCTTACCGTTTCGCTATTTTTCCAAAGTCCAAATTGGGACTAGCCTACTGATCCGGACCTGCCTCTGCTGCCACTGCACGCACCGCACCTCAGCGCACCACACAATCAGTAACCCGTCCCCCAGACTTGCAGCACCGCCTTATTTATTCCTCTCCCCCTCTTTCTCTCCATTCCCGCTCCTCTTCTCACACACCCCAACGTATCCATCACCAAACAACGTCATCAACATCTCGTCTTCGAGACACAACTACATCCACTTAACTATCCACCTCAAACAACTTCATCAACATGACTGGACGTAAGTAAAATTTTGCTTCCTTTTTCCATCGTTGCCGTCGTGGTGCTCGGTGCCGCCAGGTGCCGTGGTATACCCCGCGGTTGGGTGTCTACGGAGGCCCATCGGCATGCACCATCGCACCTCGACGCGTCGCCACGCATCTCAGGTCGCGTCGATACCAAGCGGCATCATCACGACAACTATATTGCATCTCGGACAATGTGCTGACTATCCCTCCAGGCGGCAAGGGCGGCAAGGGCCTCGGAAAGGGTGGCGCCAAGCGTCACCGCAAGATTTTGCGTGACAACATCCAGGGTATCACCAAGCCCGCTATCCGCCGTCTCGCTCGTCGTGGTGGTGTCAAGCGTATTTCTGCTAGTAAGTTCCTCTTTCTCTCCACTGCTCCTACAGCAAGGTCTAACAACCCTTCCAGTGATCTACGAGGAGACCCGTGGTGTCCTCAAGTCCTTCCTCGAGGGTGTCATCCGTGACGCCGTCACCTATACTGAGCACGCCAAGCGCAAGACCGTCACCTCCCTGGACGTTGTCTACGCTCTCAAGCGCCAGGGCCGCACCCTGTACGGTTTCGGTGGTTAAGCGTGTCATCACGACACGGTCCAGCTCTGTTTTGCAGCTTCTTGGTATCACACAGCCGGGAAAGCCGTTTGGCAAGGCTTGGTGCGGATGGTTCATTGGTCTTTCTCATGGGTAATGGGATATGGATACATCACGTTGATTTAAGGCGTTGGGGATCACACGAGACTCTGGGAATGATACTACTCGAGGCGTCGATAGGCAGACGCGTTTGTCTGAATGAAACAACACCGACATGGTGACTTGAACATACCAAACCTGTTTCGCTGTGCATGAATCGTGACGCGTCTCATTGTTTACATATCTGAATTTCTCTAAATGGGCCGACTGTGTTCTCCACTGCGTGTGCCTCAGTCTGGCTGCAGGGCTCCAGATGACACATTGCGTCGAGTGTTCTCGCCTCTATCCCCGTTGGCATCGTGCTTCTGTCCATGTTGGTCTAGATATTACAAGTACTTCCTTCCTGCCGCTGCGACTCTTGCTCTAAACACTGGGCTCTTCACCTCCATGTTCAGCCTGTAAAATGGGCTCATTATCGCTTTAACCCAGTTCTCGTACACCTCCTGAAAGAAGTTCTTGATCGCCTCCTCCGTCGCAGGACTCGTCGGGTTGGCGCCGATGGCTGTTGATGATCGTGAAGATGCGGTGCTGGAAGGTGCAGATGGCTGGTGGAGTAGGAGGAACTTGACGTTGCCTGCCGTCACGAAGCACGAGACGTAGTTGTTGAAGAACTTGTCGACGACCTTGAGGTATCTAGGCAGAAATTCCATCGTCAGCATGTGCTAGGCGCATGATCACCACCAAAAGCCTCCATCCATCCCTGGACATACAATTGACCCTGTGCCCACTGAACCTCCTCCACGATGTCCAGACTGCTGTGCAGGATGAACTGGTTCAGATGGCGAATCTGCTCGTTGAAGCGCGACTGGCCGTCGCCGCCCTGCTTGGAGGTGCCGAACTCATATTCGAAGAGCGGGTTGTCTTGCGTGCCGACGATGGCGAAGTAGTACGACATTGTTCACCGCGACATCAGTGAGTCTCGCTGTGCTCTCGCTGAGCGGATTTCGATTGTAGGCCCGCGGCGCAAAGTAGACGGCCTAATGGTTTTTCGGGGGGTTGTCGTCGTGGAGTGAGGATGGTCTCGAGCGATTCGGGATACTCTCTCTCGCTGGCCTTTCGCGCTCCTTCACCGAAGTCACTAGAGCACCCGGCGAGAGCTGCCAGCTAAGGTAGGCCCGCGGGGCGGACGGGCGGTGGGACCCCTCCCCCCGGGTGCGCTGCGACGACCAGTGGGAAATTCCGCGCGCGAATGGGAACCTTGCGCTGCGGCAGCCAATTGGCTCCACTCTTTTTGGTGCGAGCTCCGAAATTTCCTAGAATCGAATGTCTGGATTGCACAATTGACACTCTCGAGCTGTTCGATTCCCGCCCCCTCCCTCGACGACGACTCATTCACGGTGACCCGCGTACGACTGAAAAGGCCTACCTGTGAAATAGCCGGAGAACGCCAGCGAAGCACCGACAGAGGACCGCCGTCACCGCCGCGGTAGGCAGGAGACACACATATACACACATCATGTTCGGGGCGTTCCGCATCACCTCGCCGCTGTCGGGCGGTCTGCTCTGGAAGATCCCCTGGAGGCTGTCCAAGTTCCAGAAGAGGAGGCACAGGCTGCGTCTGCGCGCCGTCGACGACGTCGTCTCCACGGTGGACGCGGCGCTGGCGAAGCAGGGCGAGACGGTTGCCGCCGTGGAGCGGTGGAAGGCGGAGATGCCCACCGAGGCGGAGATGCTGCCGAGAGACAAGTACACCATGTTCGACCGTAAGGAGAAGAGGTACCGCAAGGGCATTCACAGTATGTTGCTTCCCAACCAGCCTGCTTCGTTGTTCCGCAATGGGGTGTCTCCAGAGGGAGTGGCATGGCTAACTTTTGATATCTGCAGAGCTGCCCAAGTGGACGAGAGTCTCTCAGAGATTGAACCCTCCCGGATATTAAACGACGACGAAGACGAATGCCGAATGTTTTGTTTGAATGGAGCGGACGTCAAGGGAGGGATAGAGAGGATCGTCGACAGAGAAGGCGGGCGCTTGTATGGTCCTTTACATACTTGGTTGCTGCCAACGCTCTATCGCGGGGAACAGCGAAGACGTGAGCTCTCGCTGCTTGTTGTACATTATGCATGCATGTATGTGGGTTCAAGAACAACCGCGTATACTGCAAAAGCCATGTAGAATCACACGTGCTCAGAACGAGCACAAACTCCAATCATGTCCCGAATGATGTCAAATTGAGGGTATCGAATCCCGAATCCTGTTCCCGTGAAAGCATATTTACCCGCCTATATGGTATGTCAAAAAACCCAATGCTTTTCTGCTCTCTAATTTACTCTCCCTCTCTCTTCTCTCAGAGACACGCGCCACAGCTTGCCCTGTCAACACAACTTCTTACCGTCCCTCGTCATATTCTCCACCGCGGTCCTGGATGGCCCTTCCAAGTCCGCCTCTGCCCTCGTCGTAATCCTCGCGGTACTCGTCGCGCACCTGCCCGCCGCTCTTGCCGCGGCCGTACTGGCGGCCCTCCTCGAAGCCGGGGTCGAGGTCGGTGCGGATGACGCGCTCGTCGAGCTTGGTGCCGCCAATGTACTTCATGCAGTCGAGGGCGTCCTGGTGGGTGTAGTACTCGACGAAGCAGAAGCCGCAGGGGGTCTTGTTAAAGCGGTCAAGGCCCATAACGAGGCGCTTGATCTCGCCGCACTTGGAGAAGAGCTCGTACACCTGCTCCTCGGTCGTGTAGAAGGAGAGGTTGCCGACGTAGAGCGTCGTGGCGTGGGCGAGTGGGTCTTCGGCGGGTTCGGCTGGCCTGGAGTCCTCATCGTCGCGGTGGTCGTTCCTTCTGCGCTTGTTCTGGAGAGAGAGCACTGGTGTTAGCATAGGAGATGGGGCGAGGGAAGAGTGAGAAGGCGTACCCTGCTGTGGTAGTATGCGCTCGGCCTATCGAGACGCTCTACTGTGTTTCTTACGCCATACCGCATCTTTGCAGCTTGTGGGGTCGTAGGAGATAGCAATTGGTTTGGTGTTGCGCAGGTCGGATCAATGTGAAGGATTGGCCGACAGTTTTGCTGGTTGAGATTGGCTCTGAGATCAAGGTACTTGACGAGGTGAGGTACCTGAGGCAGGCTCCAGTTGCGCGAGAGTCCTCGAGTGATCTGGATCTGGTGGCCCGTGCATGCAACCTCATGGATGACAACGAAAGTCTACTTCCCGATGTTAACCACAGGAGAAGTAAGTTGAGGATAGCTATGTCATTATTTAATTTCTTTTGAAACATCCTCGAACTGTTTATTGTTACACTTTTACTTCGATTAGAGATTAAGAACTTTTAGTAAGAATATTATAGTCTTCCGGGGCCTCTGGTTCATTTTCACTTCTCATCGTAAAAGGCTTCGTACAGAATCAATTTCTTCAAGTAATAACTTATAGAAATCCTCAGCTCTTCAGACATCGACCATCATTCTTGTTAGGCAGCATTAGGCTGATGTTCTCAACTTCACTGCGAATTGCCGTGTTGTAAGTTTAAGCTTGCGCAACTGTGATTGGCTCAGCTACGGAACACAGGTGCTGGGTCAGCCCGGAGCTCAAAGTGGGTCTCGCTGCAGCAACCGCGACTCTCTCTGGATTTTTGTCCAGGAACATTTCAGCGACCAGCCATCAAAGACGTCTGGAAAAAATCGGCCGACGACCTCAGTATTCAACAGCGACCCTGCAAGGCCCACGAGACCGCGCGCAGCTGCAGAGACATATTTTCGACACATCAAACGGGTAACAGCCACGCAATGCCCAAAGTTAAGAGCTACACGGCTCCGTGGCTGTCCCATGGCCCCGGCCACAGCTTGTTCGCGCCGTCAACCGACTCCAAGGCGCTGAGCGCGCCGTCGCCGTACCCCAAAAAGAAGAAGACTGTCGGACCGAGGCGGACAATTGCTCGAAGAGGCACCGAGGTTTTTGTCGCAGTAGGCAAGGAGCTGCGATGGGGCGATTTAGCATACCTGAAGGAGAAGTGGTCAACGAAGTATGGCCATCGTCGCATGGGCAGCCGTGTCAAGCGAGAGGAGTCGACGCAAACATTCGAGGATGCGATCCCCTCGACCGAGGAGGCCGCCACCGCGCAGGGTTTCCGCGTAGGTTTTGAATATCAAGACGTTGGAATCAATCTCTAATATCTCATGACAGACCATTAAGACGCCCGTCGCCGATGACATCCGGCAGCTCGTCATCTCCCCGAACTCCGACTACCTCGCCATCGTGACGACACACACCGTTCACATCTGCGTGGTTCCCGACTCATCCCACCTCACCGCCGAAGACACCAGTCCCCTGCGACCGAAGATATGGACCCTTGGGCCTACTACTCACGTCACCTCGCGCGCGTCGGTCGCCTCGGCGATCTGGCACCCGCTTGGCGTCAAGGGATCCTGCTTGGTTACAGTCACCACCGATGCCATTGTCCGTGTCTGGGAGCTGTCCATGACCGACCGCTGGTCCTTCGACTCTCCTACTCTGTCTATCGACCTCAAGAAGCTCGTCGATGGCACAACACTTGATCAGGATTTCACGGCGTCCACTGCGGCCACGAATGCCAGCTTCTCGCAGTACTCTCTGGAGATGCAGGTCGCATCGGCCTGTTTTGCTGGCCGTGGATCCGGAGGATGGAGTCCAATGACCCTTTGGGTAGCCATGAGGGAGGGTGATGTCTACGCTCTCTGCCCTCTCCTACCCCAGAAGTGGGCGCCGCCCCCAACTCTGATTCCGTCACTGTCTGTGTCCATTGTCTCCAAGGTGGCCGCTTTGGAAGACGACCCAGCAGTCTCGGAGATCGACAAGCTCCTTGCCCAGCAACAGCTCGAGTGGATGGGTGACTTGGACTCTCAGGAACCGCAAGTCATCGACACAGCACCGGGCGAGCAGCCGGTGGAAGTCTATACACGCCCCTCCCGGCCCGGTGTTGTACCGCGGCTGCAAGGACCCTTCGACTTTATCGCCGATCCCGACAGCGAAGACTTTTACGACAGCTCGTTGACCGATATAATGGTCATCGGTAAAAAGGTTGACACGGAGGACCTCATGATGGGCGAAGACGAGGACTTGGATTTTGACGATGGGGACCAGGAGGGTCTTTCGCTGTCCGTCGTCTGCTTGCTTTCCAAGACTGGCCAGGTCCGAGTCTACCTAGACCTGGAAGGGATCGAAGCTCAATGGCTGCCACCACGCAACAAGTCGAGACTCGGACGTCTCCTGTCGGCGGCCGACTTGCCCAGTCTGCTGACTTTTCAATGCGTCGATACCATGGCACCAACCGAGATGAAGGTGGAGGACTCCTGGCCGACATTCTCGTCGGATGTCATGTCTCGGTACTCAATGTTTGTCACTTCGCATGCCGGCATTACCTTCCTCTCTCTGTCTCCTTGGATCTTTCGTCTTGAGGGTGAGCTTTCGGGCGAGTCGGAGGCAGGCTCAGACTTCCGTCTCGGCCTTCTTGTCAACGGACAGAACTCTATTCGGGACCGACTCTACACTCAGTCTTCAAACGATGTCACTGTGCCCCTCGCCGCGAGTGCCGCCATACGCGACCCTGATCTCGGGTACTTCCTCTTGTCGGCCACTCCGTACGAACCGGTCGCTCTGACTTTTGAGACACCCGAAGACGACTTTACCCCCATACGCCATGAGACGCCGTACGAAGAGAAGCCGGTCACGATGGAACCTCTGGATTTCTACGAGCCTCGTCCAGCCTTCCAGCCGTCTCATGCTTTTGAGCAGCAATCCGACCTCCCAGAGCTCATCAACAGGCTTCGCAGCTCACGTCACAAGACAATTGTAAACCAAGAGATTCGTTTGTCTCCAGTGACTCTGCAAATTCTCACAGACGCTCATCGCATCCTGGGCGAGGATACCTACCGCCTTGGTACTGCCGTGGCGGAGATTTTCCGCCGCTGCAGCACTCTACAAGATGAACT